GTGAATTGTAAGAGTTATCGGTTGTGTTAAAGTCTGTGTTGTGTGTACAGAGTCACCTGACTGCCGGTTGATTTATTCCGGATCCTGGGCCCACATTACACCATAACAATGATGATCACTGCCATGGCTCGTATCCACTCAGGGGGATCGCAGTGAAGGCAACGTCGTCTTCCTTCTCTGCCCACGCTTCTCTTGTTTTTCCTGGTAGTGATACTTTGTATCAATATTATTGGTCTTACGTCCCAAGTCTATGATATAACTATGATTGACGCTTTAGTTACGAATTGATTACCTGAATATCAAAAGCTGATGTTGTGAGAAATATTGTTATATTTCAACGTCTGTCAGTTGCGTAACACTGATAAACTTACGTTTACTTAGAAAAAGCATTGCGGTGACAACAATGTTCCACAGCAAATCTTTTCGTAGTGTTGCTTCCATGTTCAATGATGTAGTGGTGATTACTTGGCATCGTATTGTGGTAAGGGAGAGGCTCAATAGGAAGAGAGGGCTGCGCCGTGCAAAGTGTGCTGAGGGTGGATAAATACAGGTGAATCAACTACCGGCGCACCAGGACGGTAATAGCGAGCTTTTACGAGAAAATTGTACGAATGATGAGTGCGTGAAAAGTAGGAACTGTGGAAATATGCGGGAAAAGTAGGTCAGTAATTGTATAGGTGGAGTGTAAAGGAATGCCTTGATTGTTTGTGGCAGACGTTTTTTCATAAAGGCCAAGAATGCTGTTGTAAAAGAAGCCACCTACCGCGAGCGTAAACGATAGCTGAATTGGGCACGGGCACGTCACTGAGGCAACAACGATGTTTGCGTGAGAGAGACCGAATTTTAGAAAATACTTCAGAACATGAAAGTGTGTTAGCGTGATGAAGGAGAGGCTGTGAAATCCGGAGAGTCAGTGTCGTCTTGTGGCACCATTGCAGCAGCAGCTCCTCTTGCCTGCTGGTTTATCAGGGTAAAAACTCTCGCCATAGGAGCAGCCTGCGGAGGAAAAGCGAGGATTGCGGACACTGAAATGTATTCATAACTTGCAGTCACATCCCACCGCAGAGCTGAAGGATACAATGTTTTGCCTCTTGGAGCATTACTTGTTACTCTAGAGACAAATATTGTAAAAGAAAACAATGCTAGCAAGTTTCATCGTCTATGGAAGGAACATATGTGTAGAGCAAATATAACTAGTAACATTTTTGATAGCAGATGGAGTGCATGCGTCCACATCCACATTGGTTGATGTCATGTTGCCAGCATCTCGGCAGCGCAGCCATGGCGTGTCAGCATGCCATGTACGAGCACTATTGAATTGGCTTTCTAAATAAAAGGGAAAATCAGTAGACCACCCACGTAAATAATGACTAATTTATTATTTGAAATTATGTCGCTGCTTCTTATGACTCCGTTTATTCATAAAGATAATCTGATTATTATGTTAACATGCTCTTAGGAGCACCCTGCGGCATGGCTAACACAATTACAGCGTAAATGTAGTGCAAAAAAAGACTAGGACAAGAAAGTCTAACAAGGCTAACACGAAAGTTCCATGTAATAGGGAGAAAAAAAAAGAAACTGACAGGCAGTGCCTAAAAACCCAGGCTGTTCAAGTGCACTGCCACATGTTTCACCTGCTGCTTCCAGGCTTTCCAGGCTTTCCAAACTGCTTTTTACTTTAGGTACTACTTAAGCTTCACCTGTCTGCATTCTTTCGGCACTGTTTGCATTGGCCCGTATTGGTGCCGCCAGTATGAAATCCTTTTGGCTGGCTTGGATGAGACCTACAGACAAAATTAGCACGCATGAAAATGAACTAACTGGCATAATTGTGGAAAAAGTTATGTTATAATTGAGCGTATCATCCTTCAATGTGCAGCAATTTTTAGGTTGCTCTATTCACAGTAAAACCGGAAAGATAGAACTTATGTTGTTTTTTTTTTTTACTATTACCTTCTTCAGGCGTGGCTGCACCCACTGGCACAGCAAATTGGTTGGAGCTGGATGACCAATGTTGACTTGCCTCCAAAAGTCAACAGCAAAGCAAACGGCAGCACTGTGACTGCAGACCTGTCCCAAACTAGAAAAAAATGCAGAAACATTTTTTTTTTCATTGCATGGCTGCTTAAAGGGACCCTGAAACAGTTATGATGATTTTTTACAAACACATTGGGCCGGTAGATTAAGTCCCAAGGGTAGTTTAGAGACTGATTTGAGCTCTCTGCATAAACTGTATAATTTATTGCAACGCTTTAAATGAGAATCGTTCCAGATTACTGCCACTCGGCCAAACGCGTTTTCAACCGCACATACACCAAGCTACAGGCTCTTCCCCACTAACATCATCGTTTCCAGCTGATCTGATTGGCTGTGGAGGGCACAGCACAGGCTGCCGGTATGAGATCGGCGGCGGGATTTAAGCGTATGTGGTCTCACGCCACGTGGTGACGCAGGCGCCGTGAAGGCGGAGCTTAGCCCCGAGCCCTCGAAGGAAGAG